TCTTGGAGTCTGACTGATGGTTGGACGAGCAGAGGTCGGTGGCTTGAATAAAGCTTTCCGCCTCTATCAACGCCTCTTGAAGGGTAAAAACCCTCTTTCGGACAAGGTCGAACTTAAAGGTCGACCCGTCCTTCAGACCCTTAAAGAAGTCTGTATATGCTACCTCATTAGACAGCCCTAGGATTTGAATTCTTACTAGGTTGAACCGCCTGACGTAGGAGCGAAGCCCCTCCTTGTCTCTCTACCGGATGGTGCTCAGATCGAGACTGATTTTCTTAGCAGGGATGTTCATTGAGAAGTTGGAAGCAAACAGGAAGGCAAGCTTCCTGAAGCAGTCAATGCAGCCGGCTGGCAAGTTGCCAAACCATTGTTGGGCAATGCCCTTCAATGTAGCCGGGAAGCACCGGCACCACATAGCATCCTCCAACCCCTGCATGTGCATAAGGTTAGAGTAGGCCATGAGGTGGTCCTCGGGGTTGGTGGTGCCATCATTAGCACCTACCAACACATTTTTATTCTTGGTCGGATGTGCGGCTTCGGTTATCTCCTTGGTAAACGCAGAAGTTTGTTCACCAAGTTTGAGTAATCGGAGCTGCCAGTCCAAAGGTTGGACGTTAAATGCCACCTGTCCCCCGAAGAGGGTCGGCTGCATAAAGTGAGGAGAATACGGGCCGTAGACTACAGGAGGTACGTATGGAGCATTCCCAATCATCTGAGGGCCAGAGTGGACGGTATTACCACCTATATGGCTCTCATGCAAAGATTGAATATTGCCTGCGGATGTATACTTGAAGCTTTCTGGAAAGCTCGATGTAGAGGCTGACTCAGACAGCTGCTGACTCGTTGAACTGCACAATGATTTTCACAAAACTTTAAGGGTTTAAGAGTATTTATAGGTTCATAAAAAGAGTCCTACTAAAACCAACTTGGGTTTAATAATATAAAGCTATGTAGATAAAAAATAACTTAATTTTTATTAATAAAATATTATACGTATAAATTCATAAAATATTCGGGTATTACAATCAACCCTCCTTAAAACAAGTTTCGTCCCGAATCTTAAAATAGAAAAAAATTTAGGGTATTACACCTAGAGTAAAGGGTAGTTGACTTTTGTTGATCGACTTGGGATTAAAGAAAGAAAAATCAGGTGAAAGTTGGGATTATTGCAGAATAATCGATAAATTGGGATTATTTAAAGTAAATTGGGCAAAATTGGGATTATTAAAGTGTATTTTTTTATTTAGAATTGGAAAAATTGTCAAGAATATTATCATCTTTGCCCAGTCTTCCAAAAAAAAAGACTTTTTGATTATTCTCCAATAAAACGACCTTTAACATGCATCTTCCATAAATAGGATGAAACTAGTTGGTAACTTGTTTAATAAGTTAGTGTGAATCGTGTCATTAAGTGATGAGCAAGCCCTAGTTTATAACCTAGATAAACAAATTATGTTTATCAAATGACATTTTCGTAAATACGTTGCATTGAAAATCTTGGTTTTTGAATAAAAAATTAAATATTTTTTTACTGTTTGTGGGCCACTATGACAAGTTGGACATATTTTCAATGTTAACGATGTTAACTCTTTGCTTGCTACTATTCATCATCTTCTTCCTCCTCTCACATTCTTCTTCTTTATTTTCATTTTCATCTTCTTCAATTTCATTTTATTCCTCTTGTTCATATTTTTTCTTCCCACCCACCTTAATCTTCTCCCTCCAATCTCTGCCCACTTTCACCTTCTCTTTCAACTTCGTTCGATTCCATTTCCACTGGTTTCGTCGGTGAAATTAAACGAAACCCCTAATAACAAAAGGAGAAATTATGATTATCCCTAATGGGTACCTGAGTTTTCCTCACCTTCGCACCACCATTTTCTGCGTTGAAGTCGCCGAAATTAAACAAAAACCCAAACAACAAAGTGAGAATAACAAGCATGGTTAATCCTAAAGGGTAGATAAGTTTTTCTCCCTCCATTGATTTTAACTTGTTCGACATCGATCATATAGTGAAAAGATGTACTTTCTACCAATGAAATTGAAGGTTGAATGAGGAGAGAGAAAACAACAAAAGGTTGAAGGAGTAGAGAGAAAATAAGAAATACCAAAAGTCCAAAAGGTTGAAAGAAGAGAGGGAAAACAATAATTAACCAAAGTTAGTTGTATTTTACATCTAAACCCCTTAAAAATAATTCTTGTTTATCAATGTTATAAACTTGTATTTTTCTCTATGCATTATATCATTTCCCAAAATAGAACACATTAGTATTCGGTAAGTTTAGTTTATTTCCTTGTAAACTTTCCCTTAAACTCAACTTACCATCCACAGTATATGTACCAATAAACCTTTGTTTCTCTTGTTGTGCCACATCATCATTGTCATTTATGACAATAGTAGCAACCCTACTCCTAACATTCTTCAACGCCTTCATGTCCTCTTGTTAGGCTTGTAGCCTTAACAATATACATCACCAATCATATCAAAAGAGTAAGTTAAAAATAAGGATATTTAAAATACTCCTTATTTTAGATGGACCACTACCTCACTCTCTTGATTTATTATACCATACAATTAGTATAAAAAACAAAGTTGTTCATTTACCTTTTCTAACCACTTTCTTAAAGCGAGTTGCTTGGATAGTAGTAGTGTTATGTTTCTTCTGTTGGTACATAACAAGAGCATAATAGATTAATACCCCCTCCGTTTTAAAATACTTGCTCCATTTCTCCATGCGCGGAGTTTTAAGAGAAATTGGAAAAGTAATAAAATATGGAAGTAGTGAGGTATGTGGAAGAATGTAAAATTGTAAAAAGCAAAAATAGTTGAGAGAATTAGAGGAGATGGAATATGAAATTAATAAAATATTATTTATGTTGGGTCCACTAGAGCCAATCAAAGTAAAATATCCTAATTGAAATGAACAGGGTCACTTATGCTCTAATCTTGTGTACTGAAGCCAATCAAAATGAGTTTGGCCCGCTGCCCATGCCGATTTTGGGCAAATGTTTCCGGCCCGACTCGATTTTTAAAATTTTTTGACGGGCTTGGGAAAGTAATTTTATGCATTTTTAGTTTAGTTTTTTGTCCGGCCCAAAAAGTTTGCACGACGTGATTAGTTTGGGCGGATTTGGGCACATAATTTCCACCCCTAAGCTTGGCCCGGCCCGAGAAATAGGCTGATTTTTTTGGCTTTGGCCCTACTTGGCTCGCTAAAAAATCACCTCTATTGCATACTACCAGTAATAAATTAATACTATACCACAAAAGTATTAAAAACACATACAAATTGTTAAATATCATTAAAAAAAAATTACACTTACACAAGTACACAACTACAAAAGTGAACTACTAAAAAAAAAGAAAAAAGCTCTGCCTTCACTCTTCAAAACAGAGCCACACCCCCCACCCCTTGATCTTCCCCTGCCGCCGGTGACCTGAGCGTCGCTGCTCTTATAAGGTCGCCGGCGAGCAGTCTCTGAAGGGTTGCGCTTGATTAGACCTGTTTCACCTACCATCAATCCATACGATTGGGTTTTCTTCGAAGTTTTGGTAGGTTAGGGTTTCAATTGGGGGTTTCTTCTTCGGTACAGTTGGCGACTTATATCAAGGTTCGCAGGTAGTTCGGCGTTGTCTTTGAGCCACCGGTTATCTCTTTGTCCCACCGACGAAGTGGAGTTCGGGTTTCCTTCATCGTCGGCCTGCTCTTTGTCTTGGTATGGTCTACCCTTTAGTGTAATTAAGGGATCGGAAAGCCTAGTTGTTTAATTAGTTTAGCTTTTGTCTTTGGGGTTTTAATAAGTGTGTTTAAGTTTTAATGGCTAGCTTTGAGGAATTAAGGGGGATGTTGTGTATTTCACATGTTGAAGAGAATGATGTCTCTTCTCATGGGTTGGAATTTTTAGTTGGACAATTGGAGAATCCTTTTGGTATTCTCAATTTTGTTAAGGGTTTAAAAGATGAGGGAAACATTCTCTACAAGCAAAACCAAATAGGGTCTGCTATTGCGAAATACTCTCTTGCTCTAAAAATATTGTCCTTTGCTTCAGTTTGTAGTGATGAGGATATATTATTGTTTTCGAGTATAGCTGTGTCCCTTAATCTAAACTTAGGTGCTTGCTTCATCAAGGTTAAAGACTATGACAGAGTGGGTCAATTATGTTCAGCGGTTTTGTGTTTTGATACTACTAATGTGAAAGCTTACTTCAGAAGAGCGATTGCAGCGTTAGAGCTTAATAAACCTTCTTTAGCTTTCATGGATCTTGCACAAGCCCTTAAATTAGATCCTAAAAACACTGAGTTCCAACAAAAACTAAAGGAGGTGATATCCTTATTGGGTTGGACTCCAGTTTTCATTGACGAGGTACTTGCAGTAACAAGGGATAATGATAGGTTTAGAGATTATGCTCATTTGGGGAAAGAAGATAATAGTAAGAAGTTAAGAAAAAAAGGGAAAAGAAAGGTAGAAGATGGTCGTGGTGATGGTAATGTCCGAAGGTGTACAGGTGTGACAGACAACACCAACATGGATAAGAATGTTGACGGCAATTCTTTGGATTTGGAGGGTAAAGTCAACCCTACCAACCAAGATCTTAGGCCCAACATTATTGATAACAATTGTGTTTTGAAGGAAACTTCAGAAACAAAAAACTCAAATCTGACAGGGTCAAGTTTTCGGTTCTCAAGCCGAAAGCGATATGTCCTATTTTCATCTCACTCCAACAATGTATGGAGTGATTTCCAAAGGGAGAAAAGTACAATACTATTGTTCTTCCCAAAAGAATTTCATTACCATCCGAGTAGCCAATCCTTTGAGAAAGATGGATAGAGGTGAAACTCAAGAAGGTTCTACACCAATGGAGCTTAGTCACCCCCCTGTGGAAGGGCATGATAGGTGTGAAATGACTCCAATTCTGATACAAGTAGATCCAACCATAGGTATGGCAAGTCAAGATTCATCATGTGAGGCTACGTCGACACTCCTACCACTTCCGTCAGTTTCTTCCCCTTTGCAGGCTTCCGTTCACCCAACAACGTCCTCCTCTGAAAATTTGTTGGGTTTTGTCTCGTCTCCCCGTCCCAGGTTTAGAAGGAAATACGCCACTCTGCAAAGTAGGTCTCTCGTGCTTTTTACTAACTCTTTGTTTTGCAGGTTAAGCGGCTCTAAGAGAATAGCTTCTGGTCCCATCGGGTATACTTGGTTTCCCAATCATAAGAAGTTGTATGGTTCGACCCCCAATGTTTTATCCTGTAATCTTGCTTTCTGTACTTAGTTTAGGTTGTAATCTTGCTTTTCATTTATAGTACTCTGTCAAAAAAAAAAAAAAAAAATACTACAAAAGTGACAACCTGAGGGCTGAGGCTAGTCATTAGTTATAACTCTTGGCTCTCACAAGTAAATAAAAACGGACGAAAATCTTTATAATATAATCGGCACGACGTGGCAAAACATAAACCTTAACAGAACCCCCACAAGCAAAAAAAAATTGAGCCAGGAGTCGAACCACAAACCTTCCACATGGCTAACTCAAGTCATGGCAAACCTCTTACCATCTTCATCTTCTTGTTCCATTTCTCTCTACAATCTTCCTTCTCTCTCAACCTTCAACAACTCCATGCAAAGACACCTCTCTATCTCTCTCCACCGCTTTGTTTCCCTTCGAAATCCCCCCAAATTCCCGCCGTTTTCTGGTCGAAATTCCCCTTTTTCTCTCTCCTCCATTGCTAATTTCCGACGACCCATTTCGTTTTTCAAGGTGGTTTCAATGGCGGATCATTCATCTTCATTTGGGGTCTCTCATAAACATACTAATCGTCTTGGTTTGGAGCATAGTCCTTATCTTCTTCAGCATGCTCATAACCCTGTATGTTCCGTCTTTTTTATTATGTTGATTTGATCATTTTTTATGTGTTGGGATAATTTATATGTGTTCGGAATTGGATTAAAGAAATGAAACTTGTCAAACTTATCTGAACTTTATTTGTCGAAAATAAGTTTGAATAAATTGACATTAGGTTCTGTTTGATTCAAGTAATTTTGTCTAAAATTATTTTTTTTGTGTGTGTGAGATTTTGTCTGAAATAAGTCGAGCTTAAAATCAAACAAACAATAGCTTAGTATTATGGACTTTTGATTGCGATTATCGTGACGAATTACTCATTAATAGGGTGATCTTTTGCTTAATTATGAGGTTTGCCAATTTTAGGAGGTGTAGCACTGTGAATGACAATTGAATTTAAGCCACAAATATGGGGAACTTTGAGCTAAAAACAAATGGCTGTTAGCTCAGACTGATAAAACAAATTATGTTTTGTTTTTTTTTCTATGAATGTTTTTTGGGAATTGTCATTATATAATGACCTTTCTTGTTCGACCAAGAATATGAATTGATGTGTGGTTTTTAATTTATTTTCCTAACTGCATTTTAGGCTAATTTTCAATTAGCTTAGAGTTAGTTTAGTAGGAAAGAGAAAACCAGGGAAAATAATACAAGCTAGGATATTCGACGTTTTCTGTCAGTAAGAGAGTGATATGAATCTAGTTTTGTGTTTGACATATTTGGAAGTATGTCCCTCTTATAGTTGATGACTAGTACTCTAAAGCGTTAAGGCTAGATAGCCTAGAATGCGCGATAAAGTTCTAATCTTCCGAAAAAGAAAATTTTTAATCAGCAGAGAATGATTTTTTTGAAACGCAGCATAGAATGATTTTAATTATTAGAATCTGAGGTATGATGGGTACTGGCAAGCTGCGCTCCGGGCTAAGATAGATATGAGTCATATGGCTAAGTCATATATTAAAATCTTAATGACTTAAGTCTCTATGTGATGATCACCTAGCCCTCTAGGTTAGACTTGCACATTCTGTATGTACCCTAAGATAGATATGAAACCTTCTTAGGTTGCATGAAAGGAATCAACTACGTTCCGAAAATACCTGTTATTCTTCCGTTTGATTTAATCAGCATTGCATATGGTTTGGGATTCTATTTCCATTAACCTGTTTTGGGTGCAAAATTTATGGGTTAGAGAGCTTTCATTGTGCCGTATAAATCTCTATAGTTGTAGTTTGTGTCCAAATTAGCAGCCTGGCAGGGATAGTCGCATTATTCTTTGAAGCTTGTTTAAGTATTTATCATTTTTCCTGCTTAACCTATAACATCTACCATTCTTCCTGCTTAACCTATAACAAGTGATTATAGGTTAACTGGTATCCCTGGGGTGACGAAGCATTTCAGGAAGCTAGAAGAAGGGATGTGCCCATATTCTTATCAAGTAAATCCACTAATTCAAATGGCAACTACTGTATATCATTATTCATTTTTTTTTTCTTTCATCTCTGGATTATGAAATATTATGTTTCTTCTGATAATGTTTCATCATTGGCATGACATTTCTATTGACTGAAGTTGGTTACAGCACCTGTCACTGGTGAGATTTCAGCCAGTTTACCTTTTAATTTAGTGCAAAAGGTGCAGAGCCTGTTACTATGCATACGATGGTGATTTGTTTCTTTTTCTGCTTAGGTGTCATGTGATGGAGGTTGAATCCTTTGAGAGTGAAGAAGTTGCAAAGCTGCTGAATGATTGGTTTGTTAGTATTAAGGTCAGTACAATTGTTGATTTGAGTCTTTTGTTTGTGTAGAATGTTATTTAATTTTTCTGGTGGCATTGACATCCTTCAACTATTTCTGTCTAATGATATAGTGTCTTCATAACAGGTTGACAGGGAGGAACGGCCGGATGTTGACAAGGTATATGAATAACTTTCTCAAGGCGTATGTAAGACTGTCTGAGGGTTAAGTTATACGATATAATTACTGGCTGTCTTTAGCTATTTAAAATATCTCATTTACTTATTCTGGTGTCATTGGTATGGAGTTGTGATGTGGCTCTTAATGATTGTATCCTGCTTTCAGGTATATATGACATATGTTCAAGCTTTATATGGTGGTGGAGGGTGGCCTTTGACTGTGTTCCTTTCACCTGATCTTAAGCCACTGATGGGTGGAACATATTTCCCACCAGATGACAAGTATGGGAGACCTGGGTTTAAAACTGTGCTTAGGTAAACTTTGGAACACTGGCAGCCAGTGTATAAACATGATTTCTGAAATGTCGTACTTCGTATGTCTTAGAAGATCTCTTATCCAAAATGTTGACCTCTGTTATTCCTCATCTAATTATTTACAAGTTGTTCACTTCTGTCAGAAAAGTTAAAGAAGCTTGGGACAGTAAAAGGGATATGCTTGTGAAAAGTGGATCTTTTGCTATTGAACAGTTATCAGAAGCATTATCTACCAAAGCTACTTTGGATAAGTTGCCTGATAATCTACCACAAGAAGCCTTGGATCTGTGTGCAGAGCAGGTATGTAATATATTTAGCTTGTGCACATGTGTTGCTGGCAGTATTCAGAATTCATAAAACAAGTAGAGAGTTTATCCACTATGATGCTAAACCAAATTAGACATCTATTTTGTGACTATTTCATTCTGATTATCGTAAATCCTTTTCTCACCTAAAGCATGTCCTTAATTTAGGATGTAAAGAAGATAATTAAATTTAATACCCTGAAATTTGGTTCATAAAATTCCATTAGAAGAAGCCTAATACCACTTCAAGCTCTGTAACCATTATAATGACTTAAATATAAGTGAAAAAGCCAATAATGAAATATATATAAGGAGAAGGTGCCTATTTTTTATCTAGCCTTTTAAGCACAGCTACAACCTAACTTCAAGAGGCAATGCCTCCTAGCATAGAACTCCTGATTGATTAATTCTTGGGCTTGACATATATTTAAGAACAAATTCCATGAAGACAAGGAGAGCATATAATATCTGGAAAAAAGAGCTACACTTGGGCATTATGCAATAAGAAAGAGAGAAGTAAACATTAATGTGCAATGGCCTTCCTCTGTTTTCTCTTGTATCTTTAATTGTCAATAACTAAAATTATTTAAAGTTGGTATTTTGAAATTACACATTGATACAAATCCAATAATGTGTTACATGATGACATTTTGTTTCTATATAATTGTAGAATATTGTACTCAAAATATGATTTTTAACTCGTGCAAAAGTGAAAGTGGAACAATTAGCCAAAACAGAAAGAGTATGAATGTGAAATTGTTATCTTAAACAAATATTAGAGGACACCAGTCACACCACAATATTCTTAGGTTTTCTGTATGGTACAATTCTGGTGTAGAAGGACATGGTGGCATTAATTGAACTTCATGAGTATGTAGGGTCATGATGATTTTGATAACATCTACTGGATAAATCAGACATCAAGTTTGTATAGTTTGGACTTTGGAATGATTGAAAAGTTGTTCAGATATTTTTATTCTCATGCAAGGAAAATTATCTTGATTTTACCATTTCCAATCTTTTTGGGCTCTTGGTTCCTTAATATAAGTTGTTCTTATATTAAATTTATGGAAGGGAAGCTCAAGCATTGCTCAGTTTGAAATTCTATGCTAGGACATTGTGCCTCTCTAAGTTTTGGAATGCTGCTGCCTGCTGGAAGTGTTCTAGGCTTATATGGTTGATCTTTTTTCTGGCCCATTTCTTTTTTCTTTTTCTTTTCTTTTTTTTTTTTATTGGGATTGGATAAAGGTTATTATGCTGTTATTAAGGTGTTGGAGCTTGGAGTGGTCTTAAATGTATATAAGTGTGGGCTTGGATGAAGGTTATAATCTGGTATCAAAGTGGTAGAGCTTGGAGTAATTTTTATATACACCCAGGTGCAAGGTACACCCTAGGGTATTTTTGCCCATTTAATATATTCTTGCTCTTTTCAAAATTATTAACTGAGCAAAAACCCACCCTTGGGTGCGCCTACCTCTATGTGCACCCAGGTATACATAAAACGTTTTGGGCTTATGGACAACTTTTGAGATGTTTTTATTGGAAAGCTCATGGAGTCATGGGTCGTCTTATGCACTCATTATTTAAGCATGGATTCTTGACAAGGAAAAAGGATTGGAGGATTATTTTGGGTAAAGAGTTTTAACTTTTACGTATGATTTAGCAAAAGTTTTGCTAATGGCTGTATTCTGTTTTAAAGAGATAAACTTGTAAGGCTTTAGTTCATTTAGTTGGTATAAGTTATAGTGATGGTTTTGTGCATCAAATTGTTGATGGTTTATCATCTACTATCAACTTCAAAGAATAAATCGGGGGAAAAGCTATGAATGTACCAACTACCTGTAAAGACTTCATGATAGTAAGTATGGGCCCTTGCCATCCATCTGGCTCGAGGATGAAACTTGACTAAACTCAAGAAGAGACACTAAAAAAGATAAGGATTATAGATGTCTATAGGTTGAAGGCATGGACATGCTCAAGTTGTGCTTGGAACTGTAATTCAATTATCTAGTCCTCTTATTGTGTATATGATTTATAAAAGTTTCAATTATCAGTAATTGTTGTTGTTTATTGGATTACTGTGAAACTCCTTCGTTAAAATTGGAAGCGTAAATTGATAAACAGGGCTTTTGTGCTGGTCAATATCTATCCCATAATCTCCGGGTATAGTTTTGTCTGATTAAAGATTGATTGGTGATCTGCCCATTCTCTACCTGTCCATAGCAAAATAGTAGCGAACTACATGTTCTTGAAGGTAGAATACCTTGGCTAAAGGAAAGCCTTTCTAGCAAAAGGGGGAAGTTTTTATTTATTTATCAGGGTACTCAAGATACTCAAAAAATTATAACATGGAAATATTTGCATTTCTTAAAGGGCTAATTTCCCCTCTAGTTGTTTATCCTATATAATAGATGGTTTGAGTTCAACACTTCCCAATATAGCTCAGTGTCATGGACCTCTTGTCCTCATAGTAATGATCTGGTTTGCTCTACAAGGGTCTTTCCGCTTGTTTCTTATCCTTGTAAGCTGATAAAGAAAAAAAAATCTTGGTTGTCACAAGTTTTTAATTGCAGTCCCTGAACATCTAAGGCCTTGCTTGTAAGCTGATAAAGAAAAAAAAAAACTTGGTTGTCACAAGTTTTTAATTGCAGTCCCTGAACATCTAAGGCCTTGCTTTTTCCATATATTTTCATGTTCCATGTTTGTGGCTAAACTAATGAAGAGCTAGGAAACATTATGTAAACATGAAGAATTTGGAGTCGTGTTTTAACCTTTCTCTTAAGTCTTAACTATTATATCTTTTTGAAAAAGATGCTGCAGCTTAGAATAAAACAAATTTTTTTCCCAAAACTTTTTATTTGTCAGTTCTCTTGATATATAAATATTATTCTGCATTCTAACAACTTAAAATAAAAGTATCTATCCTGTGACATCTGAATTATTGTGCTTTGTAGCTTTCTGGAACTTATGATTCAGTAAATGGTGGGTTTGGTTCTGCTCCAAAATTCCCAAGACCTGTCGAGATCCAACTGATGCTTTATCATTCCAAAAAGATGAAAAATACTGGAAAACCTGGTAAAGCAAATGAAGGTTTTCAAATGGTAAATTTTACCCTGCAATGTATGGCTAGGGGAGGAATACATGACCATATTGGAGGTGGCTTTCACAGATATAGCGTGGATGAGTATTGGCATGGTTAGATCTACAATAATATTTTTCCTTCTTGCGCGCTTCTCTGTGTGTGTGTGTTCTCAAGTGTGAGAGAATGTGATTGACAACAATTCTTTCATTGGTATTGCATTGTTCTGAAAATAGCATGCATTCTATGGATGTGCTTTTCCTATATATGTACTTGACCATGCCTAGTGAAATTAATATATTGTTCATTAGTAAGATAATGGTTTTCACTTGCAGTTCCTCATTTTGAGAAAATGCTGTACGACCAAGGGCAGCTAGTTAATGTTTATCTTGATACATTTGCAATCACAAGAGACTCCCAGTACTCTGATATTGCAAGGGATGTTCTCGACTACTTAAGGAGAGACATGATTGGAGAAGAAGGAGAAATTTACTCTGCAGAGGATGCTGACAGTGCTGAGACAGAGGGTGCAGCTAGGAAAAAAGAAGGTGCTTTCTATGTTTGGTCTAGTGCAGAAGTAAGTGAACTGTTGATGTGCTCCCTGTCAAATTTAGTTACTTACATATGAAATTAGGTTATAACTTGCTGGCAAATAACCTTTTTGGAGTTTCTGGGGTGTATTCATTTGCAAGGTGGCTTTGGTGTGGCAACAATATTTAGGGATACATGACATATATCAACATCAACTGTACCCAAAACTTTAAAGGGCCTTCACAATAGGTGAGGTTTGGGGATATGGGTGGCATTCTTAGGTGCTGTAGCTGAAGTATCAAAAAGTGTTTTTTTGTTCATTTGGGGTGGGCGGGGTTGCGGGTGGAGGTGAAGTTGGATTTTTAAAAAAGGCATGTTATTGATGGACTATGATGCAATAACCCTTGATGGTGTTCTGTTTTAACAGTTTCCCTTTCCATCTTCAAACTGTTGCCCACTTAAAAGATGCTTATGTCTCTTACGCTGTCCATTTTACACTTTTAAAGCATACTTCATTACTTCCTCCGCTTTTTAATAGTTGCATCACACACTTTTTCACGGTATTTAAGAAATGTGAGGTTCACATGATATAATACACTTTAAAATGAGATGAGTGGTTGCTAGGAGTGTAATTTAGTGGGCCATGTGCTTTAAATAAGGATTATATAGTTTTTCCCTAAAATAAATTTCCATTATAGTGTGTTGCAAGTATTGTGACATTTTCATTTTAGGGAAGTGTTGCATGTATTAAATAACAGAGGAAGTATATGATTTCTCAGCCTTTGAATTTTCTAATAATTTCATCTTGAGAGTTTGTTTATTGATACAACTTATATGGTTGTTTTCAGTTTGATTTACCTATTTTTTTGGTTACATATATTCAGATAGAGGACATCCTTAAAGAGCATGCTACCCTATTCAAGGAACATTACTATATAAAGCCCACTGGGAACTGTGATCTATCTAGAATAAGTGACCCTCACAATGAATTCAGAGGCAAGAATGTGCTTATTGAGAGGAGAAGCACAGAAGCACTGGCAAAGAAACATGGCATGTCTATTGAGCAGTATCTTGATATTCTGGGGATGTGCAGGAAAAAACTTTTTGATGTGAGATCTAAGAGACCACATCCACATCTGGATGACAAGGTACTCTTGTTTTTTTTTTTTTATAACTCTTGACTGTTGAAAGCTGTTGAACCTTCTTTAAAAAAGCTCTTCAAAATCTGCTCCTTTGTGTTTTCAGTCAGGGTGCCTGATGGATTCCTTTGACTGGAAGCCAGGTTTTAGGACCATTTACGTTTGGCTCTGAGCCTCTGACTCCTCCTAGCTTAGTGACTTGTTGTCGTTAAAAAAATTATTGCCCCTTTATTCAGTGCATATCAACATATTTGTAATTCTGCATGTATGATTTTGATTTTTCTATTTTCTTGTAACCCCAGTATTGTGGTTGACACGCTAAAATTGATATTGATACAACCTTCAAATGAAAATATTATGAAATAACTTTGTGTCAGTGTGTCAAAAATAAATTACTGATACAACTGGTGTGTCTTGGTTTTGTTTTCTCTGTGTGTTTAGTTTCATACCTAACACAAGTTGTGGCTTCATATATTCTTCCTCCCTGTCTACATGAATAATATGGCACATCTTGCAGGTGATAGTGTCGTGGAATGGACTCGTTATTTCATCCTTTGCAAGAGCTTCTAAAATTCTCAAGGGAGAACCTGATGGACATAAACATTACTTCCCTGTTGCTGGTACTGATGTAAGAACTCTTTCCATAGACTATAAACTTGCCTTTAAATCTTTTTAATTGATTGCACTTTTATTTGTTCGGTTTTGTTCGCCTACTCACTCTATTGTGAGCTGCTCCATTATTATTTGAGCTGTCATGAACTTTTTCAGTTGTTCATTTCTGTAATTGCAGCTTTTTGGATGTCACCTAATTATATTTAACTCACCCCTAAATAAAGAACAAATGTTGATATTATGGCTTTACTACCACCAAGAAATTTTGGATTTCTATTCTTTCTTTTCTTCCAATAAAAGTAAGGGGGTTGAGAAGTTTTCAACTTTCTTTGATGTATCATCTTTGGTGAACTTAGTTGATCATAATATAATATGAATCTATTTCATCACTATAGTTACATACCCCAGTACAACTATATGGTGTTAGGTCCATTGACATCAACTTTACTGGTGTAGAAAGCAAAATATTTAACTAGAAAGAGTAAATAACAGAGAGTTTGAATCTTTTATCCTTCTATCAGCCATTTTGGGAGCATAAAATCTTCATATTGCAACGCCCTAATAGATCAGTGATCCCAAAAAATCACTCTATCTTGCTCTGATCAATGGGTGGACCGGGCCGAGTTTGGCCAGGCTGAGGCGTAAAAAAAATGCCCATTTCTTGGGCTGGGCCGGGCCTAGCTTCGGGCCAAATTTTCATGCCCAAAATGGACGGATCGTGCAGGCTTTTCGGGTCATTTGGGCCGGGCCAAAAAATGCTGCCCAAAATCAGGCCGAACCAGCAGACCGGGCTAGGTGTGATTAGCTCTATTTGGGCAGAGCAAGATTTGGACCAGCAAACACATTGACAACCAATATGTGGTCCGGCTCATCACTTTTCTCTTAGAACACCTCTGAATACCCTAATCATTTGAATTTGAACTGATTGCTCTCCACTAGCTTAACTATAATGATGTTTTGTCTGTTGTGCATCTCTTTCCTACTTACTCTGTTTCATAATAGCAGGCTAGCAGCCAATGGGCTATATCATAGCTCTTGGTGATCAGAATTGACTTGAGGTCTTAAATCTAAATCATAGGCTTGGGTGATGAAGAGTTGGAAATTTGGATGTGGTGGAGTTGTTGAGTAAAAGATGGAGTGCCTTTCCACCTCTCTCTCTCTCTCTCTCTCTCTCTCTCGGTGATGGGAATAAAGTTGTGGTGGTGGGGGGTAGGAATGGGTAGTAATGCTAATAATTTTCTTGTTTTGGTGGTGGTTATGGGCTTATGGCCTGTTTGGTGGTTAAGCTGGGAACAAAGGAGGGAGTTTGATAATTGATGCCCCATTTACATCCTTTTTCCCTTTTTAAAAAAATGTCCCATTTGGTTGGGGCATTGCGTCAAGGAGCTGGAGGGAGGAGTATATGGAAAACTTCCTAACAATGTGCTGGGCGATTTGGGGTGCTCGTAATATGTATGTGATTAAGAATGTTATGTGATTGAGAATGTCATGGTTGAGCCAGAAAAGTTTGTGAGCTATGCAATGAAAATTGATGGGGAGGCATGAGTTGCAGCTGCAAGACTGTGTCAGGAGGGGGTGCGGGTGATGGTGGCTTTCATAAGGCCACAGCCTGAGATTGGGTTGTTCAAGGTGAATATTGTCACAGGGTTGTTGGGTGTAGGTGCGGTGATCCAAAGCAATGAGGATGAGGTCTTGGTTTGCATGGTGGTTTAGTATTTGGAGAAGTTGGAGACGATTGTGACGGAAGTTAAGGCGATACATTGGGCCTAAAAGTGGCGAAGGATGCTGGTTTGCGTTGGATTGTGGTTGAAAGTGACAGCTTGATGTTTATACAAGCTCTACAAAAGAAGCTGAAGAGTCTTAGTGCTTTCTTTATGATATTGATGATTTTTTAAAGTTATGTTTTAGCTTTGATAATGTAGTTTGGTCTTTTGTTGAGCGTAATGGTAATAAGATCACTCATGATTTGGCACATTAACCTTGGAATTCTTGCTTATGGGAAAAGGAAATCCCGGGTAATTTAAGTGCCAATTAGAAACGGAAATCTTTTTGAAACAGTTGAAGTAGTTTATTTAAATAAGTTGTGCCTAATATATACTTCCAGTGTATAGTACCCATTGGTACTGCTGACTCCAAAGGAATATCTAGAATTCTTTGGAAATTTTCAGAATCACATGCACTGCTGCTAGAAGAAATTAAAGAACCTAAAAATCCCAAGTATTTCTTCGTTATTCTTTCCTAACAAGTAGTCAGAATTTCATCTTTACATATCCAACTGAGAGATCCACTAGAGTTCAAAAAGTGCTAAAAGAGACGATGTTTTGATTAATCAGGTGAAAATTTCAGACATTATACGTCAATTTTTACAATAAAAATAAATGTACCGTAGCAAAATAAATCAAATAAAAAAATACTTTGCATGTGTAAGTTGAGACATGCTACTAGGAGGATGTTTTGAGTTGTTTACTCTTCCATGTGTTCAATTTAGCTTACTCTTCTCAGTATGATTGCCTACTTGTCTCACAATTATATGAGAATGGAGTAGTAAGCTGCCTCATGGGTATGTCCCAGTGGGATTAGTTTCAGATATTAGATGGTTACATTACTCTCTAGGTTGGAATCTACCTGAATGTTGTATGTTAGTAATCAATTGATTGGTGCATATTTTTTGTTTTTTTAGTTTCTGAAGTTACCTTACAGAGTTTGAAATTTTTTTGATCTTATTCAGCCCAGTGAATACATTGAAGTGGCTGAAAAGGCGGCATCTTTCATAAGGAGGAATCTATATGATGAAGAAATAAAAAGACTGCAACACAGCTTCCGAAATGGGCCAGCTAAAGCCCCTGGCTTTCTAGATGACTATGCGTTTCTTATTTCAGGACTGCTAGATCTTTATGAGTGTGGTGGCAAAACCAGGTGGCTGGAATGGGCTGCTGAGTTGCAAGATACCCAGGCAAGTACTTCAAATTGCTCATGAGCCTTGCCATTACACAACAGAAAGTCGCATATTTAATGAAATCTGCCTTTAATTATAAGTTAATGCTCGTGTTACTTTCTAAATAATCTGAATTCCTTGGGGGCATCATTGCTTCTTCAACTAAGGTTGTTTCAGGCAAACTAGCTAAAGTAGTATATCTTATGTCAAGGCAAACTAGCTAAACTAACAAGAAGGAAGAGAAAGGAACCGAAAGGAAAATAACTATTCAGTTCTATCTTAAATGTCCGATGTCCAAACCATTGTTTGCTTATTAATTGCTGGAATTATTTTAGGATGAGTTATTCATGGACAAGGAAGGTGGAGGCTATTTCAACACCCCAGGGGAGGATCCTTCTGTTCTTTTGCGTGTTAAAGAAGATCATGATGGTGCTGAGCCTTCGGGCAATTCTGTTGCAGCAATCAACCTCACCAGGTTGGCCTCAATTTTTTCTGACAGCCAGTCCGATCGCTACAGGAAGAATGCTGATCTGCTTCTGGTAAAAGCCTAAGATTTTCTTTATTTAAGTCTTGTATTATATAACTTTCGTTCAAGTGATGTTTTTTAATCTGCGAACTTTTTGGTATCAGGCAACATTCCAAACAAGATTGAAAGATATGCCAATGGCAGTACCTTTGATGTGTTGTGCAGCTGACATGCTTGACGTCCCTTCCAGAAAACAGGTGGTTTTGGTTGGACATAAATCTTCAACAGCGTTTGACAGTATGTTGGCTGCTGCTCATGCAGTTTATGATCTTAACAAAACAGTACGTGCTAAATCTATAATTCAAATCCATGCATTTATTTCCTTCCTACATTTTCTTCCATAATGTGATGCTTTCTTCCGTGGTGGAACACTTGTAGGTGATCCACATTGATCCAAGCGATCCAGAGGAGATAAAATTTTGGGAAGCAATCAACACGAAAATTGCAAATATGGCAAAAGGTAGCTTCTCTGAGGATAAAGTTGTTGGTCTCGTATGCCAGAACTTCTCCTGCAAGCCTCCTGTCTCTGATCCTGCTTCTCTTCAAGCTCTTCTTTCGAAGGAAAAATAGAATTATTATCTATGAAGACAAAGGCTTGGTGATTTTTAGTCATGCCGAGGTTCTGGTGTAAATTATGTATCTTTCTGAGCGTTGTTTAAGATTAGTTTTCTGATATTTCTCTTTGGTGAAATCTTATTTAGGTCCACATATTACAGTAGATCAGAAGTAGCCACCCAAAGAGGGGAAACCTTTATTATTCTATATATGCTGTTTTAATGTGTTAATTATGCTTTCGGTTTGGAGATGTGAGCTCTTATTTTGAGTGTTTGGATGGATGCTTGGCTTGTGTATGTAATGTTTCTGGCGAATTTGGTGGTTCTACCTTGCCCCCATGTCTAATGTTACTTCTTGTGAGGTGAGTGATGCCAGTGCAGAAGAGTATTTCATGTTGTAACCATCTGTTTTTTTTTTGTTTTGTTTTTTTGTTTTTTCAAACCATTTGTTGATTGATTATTTGGTTGATAAAATTATACTACCTCCGTTTTTTTTTATGTGCAACTTTTGCACTAAAAACGGTTCACGAGGCAAAAGATTGAAGGGTAAAGATTAGGAAAAGTAAGTGGGTTTAATTAAAGTAGAAGGAGAGAGAAAGTGTGGACCACACCTTAATGTTGGGAGGGAAATTTCCCCCCAAAAACCCACCGGAAAAGTAAATTGGTGGGATTTTTTGGGGTTAATTTTTTGTTTCCCCCCTTTTATAAAAATTTGGAGGGTAAATTTTTTTCAAGCTAATTTTTAGGAGGCTATATAAACATTCATGCCCCCATAATTTTCTACCATTCAGCATTAAAGGAGGGAATAAAAGCATCCTCCATTGTCAACCAATAATTACAATCAATATTGTTTGAAGGTGGGTGACACATTCCACCAAAAACTGAGTTTCTTCCCAAAAGATTACAAATTCTTACATAAACCGTTACGGTTAGCATAATTACACACTACAAACTATTGAAAGCTTTACAAAAACAGGGCTTCTCTGTTGTCCTTCCTGCACAGGTGGGTTTAGTGTTCATCTTCAACCCACACAACTCAGCAGGGCCCTTACTGCACCCCCTGTGCTGTAGAACAGAAATGGCAGAAAATGATGATTCTGTTTTTTTTTATATCGAACACATTCTACATGAAGAACAGATGGCAGAGTTGTGGTTTGAGGAAGAAGAAGAAATGCAGGATGCAGGCATTTGGGAGTACAACTCAGAAGATGAAATCATGGAGGGCAACCAAGAAGAAGAACAACAACAGCAACAACAGGCAGACACTGATGTTCAACAAACACAAATGCAACAGCAAGCTCATGGAGGGACTCATAGTGTATGTAGAAAGCAATTAACATTGCAGGAAAGAAGGAAAATCGTAGATGCAATTTTGGTGAAAATGAACAATGGGACATTACCAAGGGGTCACATGAAGCAATTATCATCTGAATTCAATGTTCACAAATCAACAATCACAAGAATTTTCACAGACATAAAAAGGCAGCTGGCATTAGGGGACTTGATTGATGTCAGGACTAAAAAAATTGGCAAAACAGGGAGAAAGCCATTGCAAATTTCTGATGAAACTCTGCAGTCAGTCCCACTACATTTAAGGCAGACAGAAAGGAGCTATGCAGGAGCATTGAAGATCAGTCTTAGTACAGTTCACAATTTGAAGAAGAGGGAAAGGCTAAGAACACACACATGCTGCAACAAACCATTGCTTACAGCAGACCATAAGATTGCCAGACTAAGATGGGTTTTGTCACATATAAACCCAGCAACAGGGCATGAGGACCCCACATTTGTTGACATGAGGAATGTCATACACTGTGATGAGAAGTGGTTCTACTTGAACCCTGACAAAAGGAGGTTTTATCTACTGCCAAGTGAGGATGATCCCTACATGGCAGTTCAGTCAAGAAGATTCAAGCTCAAGGCAATGTTCATGGCAGTCATAGGGAAGCCATTATATGGCATAAATGGAGAACTGTTACATGATGGGAAGTATGGCATCTTCCCATTCACTGTCCAGACAGAAGCACAGAAATCAAGCAAGAAAAGACCAAGAGGGACTATGGAAACTAAGGCACTCTCGAACATAAACAGAGAAGTAATCAGAGAGATGCTAGTAACAAAGGTCATTCCAGCAATCATGTCAAAGTGGCCTGAAGGTCTGCCCAAGGATGTGGTCATCCAATGGGACAATGCAAGGCCTCACCAAGTTCCTACAGATGATGAGTTTCTGGCAGCAACAACAGCTAATAGGTTTAACATTCAATTTGTTTTTCAGCCAGCTCAGTCCCCTGATTTGAATGTCCTTGACTTAGGGCTATTTAGGTCTATACAGTCTTTGCAATATCAGTCTTTTCCTAGGGACTTAGATGAGCTGGTTGCAAAGGTGAAAGAGTCTTATGACACATTTAACCCCCAGGTTAACAAGTACATCTGGGTTACATTGCAAAAATGTATGATTAAGATACTCAAGGCTGAAGGTGGTAACAAGTACAAAATACCACATATGAACAAAAAACAGCTGGAAAACCTAGGCAATCTTCCAGATTTGGTAGAGGTTCAGAAGAAGGATGTATTGGAGGCTGTGGAGTACCTAAACACTATGTTTAGGCCAGCAAATCAAGGGACTCAAGAACTCACAGAAGATTTGGAGGTGGATGCAGATTAGGAGACTCTTTACAACAACCAGACAACACATGGACTGCCACACATAACCACTTCTCCTAGTAAGTTTTATTGGTTTTTTTGAACAATCAAGTGGTTAGGTGTATTTTGTTGATTACAATTACCCAAACAAGTCAGGCAGTCTGAAGTAATGTCATTAGATTATGATATGGTCTTTTGTAAAGTTTTATGTTCATTGCTCAAACATATTGTATTTTGTACCCACATTTTTAGTTGATTATGAATGACAAAGATAGACAATTTATGTGGGCACTAAATCCATCAGAGGGTTATAATGTTGAATACCACACATATGCACAAGGGTACCTCGACAACAACAGAAACTTGCATGTTGATGGAGCAAATCACTTGTGCATATTGAAATTCATTGGAGTCCCTTCATCATGTGGATATGGGTAAGCAAAATAGCATGTCAAAGTAGGGGACTCTTTAATAAACAAGAAACAGACGACAACATCAGGGGATTCCTTTTAAGGGACTGACTAGGCAACAATGAACATGCACAAGACACCGGCCTCATCATTCATCAATCAAGTCCACACAGCCAACAAAGTGTACCCCAAGGAACTACAACACAATGAACATAACCAACAACCCAAGATGCAACCAGATGTACCAACACACACATGCAACCAGCAATTAATCTCCCAGATGTAACATAACCAACAACCCAACATGCTATCTCACAAAACAGCAGTAAGCAGATGTAGGGGGCTCTTTCATAAACAAGAAACATAAGGCAACATCAGGGGACTCCTTTTAAGGGACTCACTAGGCAACAATGAACATGCACAAGATCAACACAAAAATACAAATAAACCCTAACATTTAACATAATCAACAACCCAACAATAAACAACAACGAGTCAAAGTTACCCATAACAGCAAACCCTTAGCATCCAGTGGTTAGGTCAACACAACCAACAACCCATCATGAAACCACAACCAGTCAAACAATCCGGCAATAAACAGTGAAACCCTAGTTTCACTGATAGATCAACCGACACAAAAATTAGGACTCTTTTAAAATTTAAAAAATTAAAAAAAATTAGGAATAGGAATCGTTACGCAAGGGTCAGTGCTCAGCCTCCTCATCAGAGGACAGCACCACGAGGTCGGACTCCGGCAAATCAGGCAACCCGCGCATACGCCTCAGCGCCACCACCGCAGCCTTCCTGTTTCGCCGAAGCTTCAGAGGAGGCCTGGAAACCTTAGATCCGCGCTTGGGGGGGGAGGGCGCAACACTGACCTCCACAGAATCGGACTCCAGATCTACATCTTTAACCTCAAAATCAATTTTTTTTTGGGCATGGGAGTCGCCTTCACCCTCCTCGTTGTTCGTCTTCTCCGCCTCGTCGATATTTTTCAGGACTTCCCCTAAAGCTTTGAAAGTCGTCGGAGAACAGTAACTTGGGCCTTCCTCAGACTTGTAAAGGCGGCGAGGAAAATCATTGCCCCGGTTGATGTCGTTAATGAGGGACTTGATGAACTTAGCCTCACTCTGTGAATCTGTGCCAATATAGGCGTCAATAAGTGGATCTAGGTCATGTAACGGAATTGTAACGTCTGGATGCCTCTCGAAAGGGGAGGGAAAGGGGGAAGACATAATTGTGGGACTCTGAATTTTTCTGGAAAAAGGCGAAGGAAACGAAGAAGACGAAGAACATGAACCCTAGAACACGAAGAACAGGAAAAGGAAGAAACTGATCTAGGGTTCTATAGAATTCGCTAGATCAGTCTAGAAAAGGTGGAGACAAAGATAGAGTTGTGTCGGTTGGGGGGGTAAATTGGAGGGAGTACTTAGGTTAGGTTAATTTAGGTGTGTCAAATTAAGTTAGGGTTATGGGTAATGAGGGGTAAAAGTAAGATGATTACATTTTTTAAGTGGGGGTAATATAGTAAATTCAAGGGTTTTTATTTACCAAAAATGGAATGAAAAAGGAAAGTTGCACATAATAGTGAACGGACTAAAATGGCAAAAGTTGCACATAAAAAAAAACGGAGGTAGTACATTTGTTGAAAAACCAAAGTACTTAATATAGTGATATGTGAGTGGTCCCACATTGGAAAAAAGAAAAAGAAAAAGTAGCAAAGATGTGACTAAAAGCTAAAACTACATTCTCCCTAACAAAAATGCAGCCATGCAGGGATAGATTTTGCTTTAATTGATAGTACATGTTTCATGACAAGTTGGGTTGGGTCACTTTTGGGTCAAGGTCTGTCAAGCAAGTTGGGTTTAGGTTGGATCAACTCTAAATCGTTCATATTTGGTTTGGATAAATTAGATTGGTTTAAAAATGGGTTTAACCGCATTCCAGTTCGGTTGATTTCGGTTCGCTTGATTTAGTTTGGTTAAGAAAATAAAGTTGATTCAAAATTTGGTCAATTTTGATTTAGATCCTTTATGTGTGTTGGCTTAATTTTGATTGTGTTGACCAAATTCAATATTTCCTCCGTTTCTATTTAGTTGACACCTTCAATTTAGGCACACATATTAAGGAGAGGAGAGAGAGTGAGAGAGAGAGAATAATAAAGCAAGTGGGGTACACTTAAAAAGCAAGGTATAAAGCTTACCCAAAAAGAAAACATGTCAACTAAAAAAAAAATTCCTAAAAAAAATACGTGTCAACTAATAAAAAACGGAGGTAAGTAGTAAATAAGGTCATTTTTAAACTAACGTAATTATATCACCTTATTATTAGGCCACTATCAAGTCATT